TTTTGAGACAGGGTCTCACTCTGTTGCCCACACTGGAGTGCAGTGGTGCATCCTGGCCCACCGCAACCTCCACCTCCCAGGCTCAAGCGATTCTCCTGCCTCAGCCTCCCAAACTGTTGGGATTACAGGCGTCTGTGCCACCTCACCCAGCTAATTTTTGCATTTTTAGTAGAGACGGGGTTTCACTATGTTGGCCATGCTAGTCTCGAACTCCTGACCTCAAATGATCCACCAGCCTCGACCTCCCAAACTGCTGGGATTTCAGGCGTAAGCCACCGTGCCCGGCCCCTGCACGGACCTTTTTAAAAGCTCATCATCTATCCTTAGTGTTAGTGTATTTTATGTGTGGCCCAAGACACTTCATCTTCTTCCGGTGTGGCCCAGGGAAGCCAAAAGATTGGACACCCCTGGTTGAGAACAATGCCTGGAACTTGTTTGCTCTCAAAAGTTCGTTCAATGAATGAATGAACAGATGCTTTCAATGCAAAACCTTAGAACTGGCAAGTCAACATGTCACCAAAAGGTGGGAGGAAGAGGCATTCATGGTACTGGTTGAGTGCATAGTAAATAAGGTACTTGCACAACTGTGGGCAACAAAGAGACGGCTTGGGAATTATCAAACACCAATTTTGATTTTGATGAGAACAGTCATAACCCAATATTTGAAGATTTTGATGGTTGCTTCTTCTTTTCCCCTCTAAGCCCCCCAGAGAACGATGAAGGGTTAACCAAAACACCACCAAAGGCAACCACTTATTACCTTTGTTATTCCCACATAAAAAATTGAGCAGGGCTATTGTTTAAGCAGAAGAGGCAGTCCCTCAATGAAGCAATATCCTGTTTGAATAATTTAGGATGGGACATAGGCCAGCCCACACAGTGCATTTGTGTGACAGGGCGTCCCACTCAGACATCTCCATTTCCGGTATCTAGAGTCGGCTGCCCTCTTTAAAAATCCCCTTGTTACAGTCAGGATAGAAAACAAAAAGCCTAATTTACCAGGAGGCTACACAGATTGTGCCTTCTTAGGCAAATGTTCCACCTGCTTGGCCAATTAGCTTCCTCTCCCGAAAGACTCGTTCAACAGGTTTCTTTTTTCTGTTCTCTGCCTCCTGGGTTGGGGAATGAGGCTGTCACTTCGCTTCGACCCTCCCCTTCCCTCCCTCTGGGCTCTTCCACTCTGGGTCGGACCAATCGCGCCCGCTCCGACGTGTCCAGGTCCGCGGACACGAGAGCTTGGCGCGGCCCGGCCTGGATGCGCGGGGCAGAGGGTGCAGGGGAGGGCACGGCGCCGCTTGCTTGGCCTGCGCCCTGGGACCTAGAAGCCAGGACGAGCCGGGGGAGAGCCAGGCGCGCGGAAGTCTGAAGGTGCCCTCCAGACACGGCCCCGATGACTGAACTACAGCAAGATGTGGAAGACACAAAGCCTGCGAAAGTGCTCGGGAAGAGGGAGAGCAAAGTTGGCTCAGCCCAGTGAGTATTCTCAGCTGGGACCCATCCAAGGAGGTGGGAGGAGCGCAACCCAAACTTCTCTGCCCCGGGACGCGTTTTGGGTGGATGCGGATTTCTGGGGTTTCTACATGGACAATCTTGTGGCGCTCTCACTCGCTCGCGCGCGCTCTCTCTCTCTCTCTGTCTGTCTCTCTCTCTGTCTAGATACTCAGTTAAGGAGACGGTTTAGATTGATGGAAAAGTCTACTGTAGGATTTAAACAAACTCTCTTAATTCAAAACTCACTGGATGTTGGGAAAATAATTTTGTAGAAAATAAGCCTAACCACATTGAAGCTCAAAGTCCCAACACAGCCCTCCGTTTAGAATGACCATTTTCACAAAATTTCAGTTCAGATAATTGAGTATCTACTTGTTCGATAACGATGGGCAATACAAGGATAAATGTTATTTTGGATCTGCCCTTCTGGAAGTTCAAGAGCAGAGTGGGGATGGGGGAGGCACAAATGAATATTACTGTACTTCAAGGGACTTTGATGACCATTGCCACATTAAACACACAGACAAGGTATGATAAAGAGTTTAGCCTATAACTGAGTCTTCTTACTGTTAAAATATTTATCTATTTTGCAGGCTTTGGTAAAATTGGTTTGGGAGGAGGAGTTGTTTGTTTTTTCCTACAAAGTGGTATCTTCTAAGCCTATTGAAGTCACTTCTAATTCAGTCTATGATTTTAGACACTAACCCTTCTGAGCTCTAAAACTCTTGTTTTGGTATCAGGATAAGAGTAATTTAGGAAGGAGGACTATATATTATCATAAGGATATACTGATGTGATAATTCCACTTTGAAATCATTTTAAGTTGCCAAATTTTTGTGCTTAGAAACCCGGTCTAACTTCTGTTTTGAACTTCATAACTTAGATTGATTATCACTAAGCTCAAAGTCTTGTTGAAGTCTGGGTGTCCCAATGGATATTTCTTCTAAGAGGATTAGAATGACTTGCTCCTCGCAATTTCCCTGCGTCTGTAACTGCATACATGTAGGCCTCGTCACCTAGAGCCTTAGCCTCCTAAGTAATAGTAGCTGGCACTTACTGAGAATGCTTACTGTGTGAGAGGGAGTGTGCTCAACACTTTAAATGCATTCTCACAAAGAATGAGGCAGGTGCTATTATTTCCATGTTGCAGATAAAAGCACTGAAGCTCTGAGACTAGGCAGAGTCACACGGTTAATAAAAGAGCATCCAGGATTCAAGCCCAGGTCTCCTAACTTTACAGCATGAACTTACAACCACTATGCTGTGCACTGGTTCCTCTGTTCCAGAATCTATGATGGCCTTCCATGGCCTACTATTAAAAATGGGATCCTCTGCCAAGATTTTAAGATCCTTCATGATCTGGATCCACACAGACCATTACAACCTCACTTCCTAATACTAGTCAGCATGCACATCTTTTATAGCCAAACAATCATACTAGCAGCCCTATACTTAAAGGGGTGATATGCAGCACTCCCGTGTTCATTGCAGATTACTCATAATAGCCAAGATATGAAATCAGCCTAAGTGTCCATCAACAGATGAATGGATAAGAAAATGTGCTATGTGTACACAAGATGCAAAATCAATCTAAGTTGTCCATCAATGGATAAATGGATAAGAAAATGTGGCATATATACACACTATTATTCAGCCCTTAAAAAGAAAGATCTTGTCATTTGTGACATGGATGAACCTAGAGGACATATGTTAGGCACAATAAGCCAGGAATAGAAAAACAAACACTGCGTGATCTCACTTGTGTGTGACATCTAAAAAAGGTTGACTCAGGCCTGGGACTGTGGCTCATGCCCATAATCCCAACACTTTGGGAGGCCGTGGCTGGAGGATCACTTGAGCCCAGGAGTTTAAGACCAGCCTGGGCAACAAAGTGAGACCCTATCTCTACAAAAAAAAAAAAAAAAAGTTAAGCATGATGGTGCACACCTGTGGTCCCAGTTACTCGGGAGGCTGAGGTGGGAGAATCGCTTGAGCCCAGGTAGTTGAGGCTGCGGTGAGCCATGTTCATGCCACTGCATTCCAGCCTGGACGCAGAGTGAGACCCTGTTTCAAAACTATAATTTAATTTAAAAATAAATTTAAAAGTTGGATTCATAGAAACAGTAGAATGGTGGTTGCCAGCTGCTGGAAGGTGGAAAAGGTGGGGAAGGAGGGAATAGGGAGTTGATCAGAGGGTACAAAGTTTCAATCAGAAGGAATAAGTTTTGAGATCTATTGCACAGCAAGGTGATTAGTGAATAACAATGTATTGTATATTTCAAAATAACTAAGAGTAAATTTCAAATGTCTCACCATAAAAATGATAGGTAAGCAAGACCATAGGTATGTTGCTTGATTTAATCATGCTACATTGTATACATATACCAAAACATTATCTTGTACCCCATAAACGCAAGCAATTACGATTTGTCAATTAAAAATAATATTAATTGTAAAATAATTTAAAAATATATTTCTTATAAAACTCAAACAAAGAAGTGATATGCAGAAGGAATAAGGAACTGGTATGTCAAACATAGGACCCAATGAATCCCCTTCTGTCTTCACTTTTCCTTACCGCTGTTCCTTTCCCCTCTCTACTCTCTCTTCATTTACTTCTAGAAATCAACTCAAGTTTTCCTTCATGTGAAGCCTTCATTCATTACTGGCCATGCTCATCTCTTCTTTACTGGTATTCACCTTGTACACATGTGGCTTCCGTCTCATAGAATTTAGCTGCTGTTATTATGATGATTAATTAACAATTAATGTTTATTGACAGTTTAGTTTGTACAAAGTACTGTTTCAAGTTGTTAACATATATTAATTCACCCACTAATCCAGTTGTATTAGTTATCTTTCCTCTAAATAGGTTGCAGACTCAGATTACATTTTTCCTTATTGAATTTCTCAGAGGCCCAAGCAACAGTCACTTTCGATAACCATCTGTTGGTGAGCTGGGGAAGCTAAGACCCCAGACCCACTAATTAAGATATATACTGTAATACGCTTGTAGCTGACAATCAGCTTGACTATGTCAGGGGAAATTCTATGTTTAAAATTTTTCTTAATCACATTTCCTATCAGTAGCGGTTAGAATTTCTAGGTACATTTACTTGCCCAAGAGCTATGGCTAATTTGTTCATCTTTCTGCTAGAAGAAGGTGAAGCTGCTGGTACACTCATCACCAAAGTGCATATTTGATGAAAAAATACAATGAACCCCTTTCTGACCAAGAATAAGTACTTTAGCTGTATATTTCCTTTTGAGATCCTAACTTTCTCTGCTTTTATTACCTTTTCTATTCTGAATTTTATGTTCCCAGTACTTGAAGAGTCGTAGCATAGCCTGACTTTTTTTGACACACATTTTTTTTTCCTTCAAGAGGCCAGAATACCCTTGCTCTAACTTTTGTTTGTTTGTGTGTTATTTAAGTTCTGGGGTACCGGTGCACAACGTGCAGGTTTGTTACACAGGTATACATGTGCCATGTTGGTTTGCTGCACCCAGCAACTCGTCATTTACATTAGGTATTTCTCCTAATGCTATCCCTCCCCCAAACCCCCACCGTTTTTACACATTTTATGAAACACACCTTTATTTCTTAAACTTCTTCTGGATCTCATTTAGTAATGTCCAGGTTACTTTTAATGAATTTCAACAAGTACCCAAAATGAATGCTGATATATTCTGAGCAAAAGTTATCTTGATTCATGTTTCAAATAATGAATTAAATTACATGTAATAACATTCAAATTGCAATTTGAATTTTTAACATTTGAACTTTAATAACTTGAGGTGTAAGAATTTTAGAAATTTGTCCAACTCCATATGTATGTAGGAAAAGGATAGATGTGGGCAACAAGAACATTTACCTTAAAAGGAAGCTCTCTGGTATTATCAATAAAGTTTGGTTATTTTTAGTATATATTTTTACTTAAAATAGTGAATTCAAGTAAAAATAAATGACCTGCAGTGGCAACATCTCTCATCTAAACGATCTGTCTTTGTGCATGGCATGTTGGAGTACTTGACAAACAGAACACAGGTTGAAGTCAGGAACTGATCTTGAATTAGAAGCAAGAGAAATAAAGGCAAATATTTGTTGGGCCTAACTCAGTTTCTTAGTGCTTACTTAATTCCAAACTTTGAAAGCTCCCATTTAGCAAAAGAAGATTATCTCTCTATCTGTGTATGTGTGTGCATATAATTTTTTTTTTTTT